TGTGATTTGCAAGGTGCACAAACATTCTAGCTAGCGCTGAACATGGAAATAATAATAATAATAATAATAGCAACAACAACAACAGCAGCAATATAGCATTTGTATAGCACTTCCAGCTGTTCAGAACGTTTTGTAAACAATAACATCACAACAGCCCTGCAATGTAGGACAGTGCTGTTACTGCTATATTATAGCAGTATATAATGCTGATTTGGAGCTGTGGTGGCTCAAGTGGTAAAGAGGCTGAACTGCAGGCTGTGGAAGGTCGGTAGTTCAGCAGTTCAAGACCCGAGTGTGCTGCATGACGGAGTGAGCTCCCGTCTCTAGTTCCAGCTCCTGCCAACCTAGCAGTTCGAAAGCAAGAAATTGCAAGTAGATAAATAGGTACCACTTCGGTGGGAAGGTAACAGCGTTCCGTGCGCCTTGGTGTTTAGTCATGCCGGCCACATGACCACGGAAACGTCTTTAGACAGCGCTGGCTCTTCGGCTTTGAAACGGAGATGAGCACCGCAACCCTAGAGTCGGATTTGACTGGCTTTCGAGCAAGGGAACCTTTACTTTTACCTATATAATGCTCTCCTTGTTTAGATTTATGTCCCATAAAGCAGCAGGTATGCTGCTTCAGAAAGGGTGAAGAAAGCTGATTAGAAAACCTCTCTTGGCTATAGCCAAGTTAAAATGTTAAGAATGTGGTCTGAAATTGGGTGTTTGGCAGGGAGTGTCCTTATTAATTTGGTTACTGGATTTTGCATGAACAGGGGTGAAGTGAAAATGATTGGTGCATTCAGCAGGCCTAAATGACGCCCCCCTTCCAATTTAAAAGCAAGATATGATGACAAGCAGACACCCTCCAAGGTTCTTTGCATTATTCTGCGCACAGCATGTGCACAAAGAAAAGCGCAACACTCACAACAAACTAAAATGGCCACTAGAGGTCAGGCATGCTGCAGAAATATGGAATCCTCTGCTTTGAACTGGCAGCTTATGATAAAAGGGAGACCCTAAAACTGAAGGGACTAAAAATCCTTTTAAAAAACCCCAAAACAGATAGGAAGCTAATCAGCTAAACTGATATAATGTTTCACATAATCTAGCTGGAACTATTAAGCAGGAAAAACCATCTCTACTTCTTTTCATAGGAGCCTAAAGCAAGATGCGGGAGGGAAGATG